ACACCGGTAGCAGGTTAATATCTTTTTTTTTTCAAAAATAAAAAATAAAAATGTTATGATTATTAAATTTATTTTTTTCAAAATGATTGAGTTTCAAAAGATAACGTAATAAATTACATGATAACATCTATCGAAAAATAAATTATAAAAAAAAATTAGTTTGATTCAATTTTTTTTATATTTAAATATTTTATTTGAGTTAAATTAAACAGTGTAAAAAAATATATGTTCCGAACAGATACTCGAAGTATATTTATTTTATCAGAACTAATTTTGGATTAGGGAAAAAGAAATTATTAAAGTTAGTTATTAATGAACACGTAGAACGTTAGTTGTGGAGGTCAAGAGACTTTTCTTGTACCAGACTTTTAAATGAGATTAACTCTATGTTATTATAATAAAGAGTGTTGGTGAAGTCACAACAACAACAACAAAACTATGCCCTGAATGTTGGTGATGACTATGGCCACAAGCACTGGCAAATTCACAACTAAAATCTATTTGTTGCAAATCTATTTGCAAAATTGAGGCCCAAATAAAACTAAAATTGAGTTGCTCGGGCAATCCATGTGAACCTCTATTACATTGTATCTAGACATTGTAGTGTACTCCACCTGACCGTTTCAGGTATAGTAGTGGTGTGTTAGCACCTGAAAATGAGAGGCTTAACACCTGACCGTTTTTTCCCATTTACAACAGCCATCAGTGGGTTGTTACATGAAGACTATAGGTCACCCTCTGTTGGCTGAAAGTCCTTTACATAGGACCTTTTTAGAGTTGCAGATAGATACACAATACATACATTTGTATATCACACTCTACTAAAAGCCTCACGCATCATATCATATACAGTGCTCGATCTCGACTTTGTTTGTGTTTGTCGGAGCTCTGAAGTTTGGTGTGCAACAGCTTCCATGACGCTAGTCAATATTGTATCTTTGGGAACATGACGCACAGACATGTTAATATTGTGCGGAGCGTATTAATTTGTTTTGCAAAAAGAGTTTACTCTGCTCGGCTTTAACCTTTTCATTTTTAAGTTGTACTTTATTTCCAGCTTTTAGTTCATATTGTAAGAATTGAATATGTTCTCATGCATTCAACGTGAGTTTGTAACAACTTTTACATTTGAAAATACAAGTGAATGCAATTGTATTTAAAAAAAAAACTAGAGATAAATACAAAGGTAAATTAGGAATGCACAGAACTGAGATGGGACACAACATTTTCAAATGGAAACAATTCTGAAAACTCCAAAAAATTCAAATCTAAACCCAAGTTAAAAAGACGAGGGAGACCGATGACGAATGTCAAACTACAACCGATCAAAAAGGAGAGGCAGGTGAAGAAATTAGTTCATATTAAAAAAAAATAATATTTTTATTATTATTGAAAAATCATAATTCAAATTAAAATGCGACTCACCTAACTATTCTTTTATCATTAATTTTTATTTTGAATTTCAAATGAGCACAGAACAATTAAAATGAGTATGCTCTGGGGCTTGGATATTTAGGTGATCTGAAGATCGAAAAGTCATATATTAGATAACACAAGATGATTATTTTAGTTGATGATAAAAAGATGTAACTCGAGTAAATAATAATTGGCTAGTCTTCTTTTAGTTAATTGCTCGTGAAAATAATAAAGTAGGAGGGTAATAATAAAGGAGGATAGTCTTTTATATAAGGGTCTTAAAACTAAAAACACTATCTTGCTAAACAAGAAAATACCAAATAAATAAGCAAAATGCTACAAGTACATAATAAATGTACATAACACTCACATGGAGTGGAGTTTTTATTTTTGATGGGTCTCACTCAATGTGATAAGTGATTGTTATATGACCCTTATGTACAATATTATTTACCTATAACATTAATCAATAAATAAATATTCTCATACCAACTAGAAACAAAGAAACAAGTAAATAATAATAAAAGACTATAATTAATAAAGCTAAATATGAAGACGATCATATTTACCTAGAAATGCAATCGCGATCTTGTCTCCATCATCTTCCCCCGGTTGAGAAAGATTCGGCCACGAATCTGGACCGGTCTCGTCTCCATCGGAGTCGTAAGCATGGCAGAAATCATCCGACGTTTTCCTTGATCGAACACAAAGTTTGAAGGTCGCCCAAAAACCCCGATGGTAACCATAATCTTAGGCAAGGGTTGAACTGTTGCAAAGGCACATGTACACACCTCCTTACGGATAACCACACAGTAGAATTAACATCAAACAGACCACATCGTTCGCTGCGTTGAAATTCATAACTACGACCAAGCATCCTGTTGTTTGGAGACTTTGCGATAGACAATCCAAAAATGGCCCACCCGTTTATTAAGCCTCGGGTTCGGCTCTGAAAAACCATCTTTTGCCAAGATACTATGAATATCGGGTTTAAATGACGACTTCCCATTTGAAGGCTCAATCTCTGTGACATCCCACGCGGGACCCATCTGGCCGCAAAAATATGTCTTCGTCACATGAGGCTCCTCATAAAAAATTGGCGGACCGTCGTACAATGATTCGTCATCTTCCTCAAAAACCACACCTTGTTGTCGCACATCTTGGTGCGCGGCAACAATCTCGGTCTCGACGGGCGGAGGTGGCCACTCTCCGAAGGGATCCACCTCTGAAATGGTCTCATCGTCGTCTGCACGCTGGACGACGGTTGCGTAGATCACCAACGGGGCGCCCCGTCTGGACCACCACCTTCACTTCCTCCGCTAAGTCCCCCGCGCTAGGGCTGCGAACGAGCAATCGAGTCAAAGCTCGGCTCGAGCTCGAGCGGCTCGAACACGAACTCGAGTCGAGCTCGAGCCCAAATTTTACATTGTCGAGCAGCTCGCGAGCGGCTCGAGATATATGAAATTACTAAAATACCCTTGTATATATATGTATGTAATGGTTATTTCACAAAACTGCTTGCAAAAATTCAAACCGAACACGAGCCGAGCTCGAGCATTTTGAATTCGAGTCGAGCTCGAGCTCGAGCTGAGCTTGAGCTCTTGTATTTTTTTATCGAGTCGAGCTCGAGCCTCATAAATCGAGTTCGACGAGCTCGAGCTCGAGCTCGAGCAGCTGAAAAAAAAAATTCAATCCTGCTCGATAAGACCAATGCTCGACTGGGCTCGGCTAGTTTGCAGCCCTACCCCGCACACACCCCGGCCCTGGGAGCACGGTTCGTCTGCATATCCCAGACCACGTTGTTAAGCGTCAAACACAAATCCTTGATCCCTATCGAAAGATAGGCAAACCAATCCGTGAAACGCACGTCCAACGATTGAAATCGGTAGTCGGTCTGTTAAAACCAATCGTTGAAGGTTGCGTCATGTTGTTCGTTTGCGGCATCTTGTCGTCCCTAAGGCATCGTCAATCGTACTGACTGCTGATACCAATTGATGTAGGGAAGCGTACGAGTGAGAAAGATAAATGAGATACTCTCTCGATAAAACTCACAAGAGTCAATCAATTTTTATTATCAAATTCACCAAGTAATAATAAAGCAGGAGAGTTCTTTATATAAGACTCTCAAAACTAAAAACTTTATCTTGCTAAACAAGAAAATAACAAATAAATAAATATTCTCCTACCAACTAGAAATAAGGAAATAATTATATTCTCCTACCAACTAGAAATAAGGAAACAAGTAAATAATAATAAAAGACTATAATTAATAAAGCTAAATATGGAGACGATCATATTTTTTTAGAAATACAATCATTCGCTAGATTCGTGTATTTGCGCTAAAGTGAAGCTTATATGTACATTTTTTTATATGTTTATGTATGTTAATATAATATTAATGGAAATTTGTTTTTTATTTTTAAAGTGTATCTGTAAATATATTTATAATCTAATTTGTATTTAGATTGTTCGAATTATAAAGCAATATACATAAACATATTTTTATTATTTGGTTAACAAAAGTTTACATATGATTAAATATTTATATATCTAACAATTTATTTGAAATAAAAATAAATACATATATTTAATGCAGAGTAAAATGGAGCGTAAAAATTTTGACCTACTCTTGGCACCCGAATTAAATGTCTGTTTAAATTATATTCTACTTCATTTACTGAAATCCATCAACTAATTATGAAGCAAATACTACAAAAGGTGTGGTTTAATTATATTTAAAAAACTAGCTGCTAATTAAACAAACACATACACTTGGACATATATGTTTCATATTTTGAATCTTGTAGTTGTTCAAAGGCATTAAATGCTTATTTTCAAATAACTTCAGGTGTGGGGTTTGTAATCTAAAACAATAAACACAAAAATATCATGTAATTTAATGCATGCTCCTATCATTCGCACTTCAGGAGAGTCCATTTGTCCGTTTTATTTTTCATTTTATTATTATTATTTTTCCCACAATCATAATCAAACTACATTATGGGAGAATGCTACCATCCCGTTATGGGATGGTTCCGTTGTGTTTTTAAGCGTTAGATTAACTACCCATCACTAAATTACATGTATATCTATGGCTAGAAAACACAACGGAACCATCCCATAACGGGATGGTAGCATTCTCCCTACATTATGATCGATACTAAGTGCTAACTAACATTTTATACGGTTTATGTTGAAGGTTGAACTCATTTCAATAGAGCAAAATAGTATATCATACTTTAAAAAAAAATAATATAACAAATAGTATG